GATAGGGGTGCACAGATGCATTAACAAAAAGGGGGAGAGGGGCTGGCCTGTCAGCTCAGTTGGTTGGAGAATGGTGCTGGTAACACTGAGGTCCAGGGTTCGATCCCTGTTACCAGCCAGCCACCAAAACAAAAACAGAGAGAGGGGAAGCTAGAGATCCTTCACCCTTGTGAACTGAATGGGTAAGGCAGTGCTGGTTAGCACCTCAGAATGTCTCACAGATTTTAGAGAGGGACTGTCCTTGGCTTGGCCAGGTGATACATCTGCAGGGTCCATGGCAAGCTGGGCCTTGAAAGAGGGACAGCATTTGGACGGTGGATGGGCACTGCAGGCAGGGCAAGGGTGATTATCAGAGGGGAGAATGCTTTGTTTGGGTGGGAGAGGAAGTCTGGGTGCCTGGAGCCAGACAGGATGGAGTGATGGGGCTGGCAGGATGGAGCTTAGTAGGCACGATAGCAACAGAGCTGTTAATGACAGTAGCGAGGATGACAGCATCAGCAGCCGCACTTGCTGGGTGATTACTTTGTACCAGGCACAGGGTGCCTTAGGGTATCCTCACAGCACCCCATTAGGTAGGTGCTATTATCTTTTGTTTGGCTTTGTTTTTGGCGGCTGGCCAGTACGGGGATCCAAACCCTTGACCTTGGTGTTGCAGCACCATGCTGCAACCAGCTGAGCTCACCGGCCAGCCCAGGTAGGTGCTGTTATTACCTTTGTTGTATAGTGGAAACCTGAAGCACAGAAGTTGAAGTAACATCCCCAGGTTCACTCATCTGGAAGCTGGAGAGTGGGGACTTGCCACAGCCCCACGGCCCAGAGCCTGCCTCCCCATCAGATGGCTGCCACCTTTTTACTGAGGGCGTGCTGTGGTCACCCAGGTGGCCTGGGCACGGTCTAAGCAGGGTGACTATTGCACAATGTGGACAGGTTTTTCAAGTCGTGGGACTGCTCCAGGAGAGGCTTGGTGCAACCCTTCCCTGCTTTGTATTCCTTTATCTCTAAAGGATTTGTTTTGAGCACCAGGACATCTTGGACCCAGTGACATCCCAAGGGCCGAGAGTGGTATGGAGCAAACTCTGTACATTTTCATGGTACCTTTGGTACCTGGTTAGCTGAGNCATCAGATGGCTGCCACCTTTTTACTGAGGGCGTGCTGTGGTCACCCAGGTGGCCTGGGCATGGTCTAAGCAGGGTGACTATTGCACAATGTGGACACGTTTTTCAAGTTGTGGGACTGCTCCAGGAGAGGCTTGGTGCAACCCTTCCCTGCTTTGTATTTCTTTATCTCTAAAGGATTTGTTTTGAGCACCAGGACATCTTGGACCCAGTGACATCCCAAGGGCCAAGAGTGGTATGGAGCAAACTCTGTACATTTTCATGGTACCTTTGGTACCTGGTTAGCTGAGAAAGCTGGCTGGGTGGGGAGTGGGCAGGTGGCAGGTGGCAGCAGCACGTGATTCTGAGATCACTTTAACGTCGTGGAAACTTCCTTCCAAAAGCTAGCATCTATTTGAGAGTTCCTTGCGCTAACAGATAATGTGATTTCCTGTGTGCTCAGAATCTGCTTAATCATTACTTTTAAATGATTCTTATGGACACATTCCTTCTTGTCAGTAACAGAGGAGCTCTCAACAACCTCTGGAGACCTGTGCTAGGGGCCCCTCGGGGACTGGTTTTTGCTTTTGGGGGGGGGGGGGGATNCTCGGGGACTGGTTTTTTGTTTTGGGGGGGGGGGGGCATAGTTGTTTTTGTTTTTTTAAACAAAACTTGAGTTTATAGTTTTTCAGTGTGAGCTATACTAGTCTAAAAGGTACTGTTTCCTAGAAATCTGCATTAAAATAGGAAGATATATAATCCATGTCACCTTCTTTCTAAAAATTGCTCACTTGACTGAGATTTTAGTGTCCTTATTCAATAAATAATAGGAAAGTAAACATGGGCTTTTATTAATGCATCTGTCTGTAAAGTTTTAGATTGTTTAAAGGCTGTGATTTCTTATTTTTGCACATACATGCTGTGTGGACTCCCTGATCACACACCAGGCCCAGGGACAAAAGACTAAAGAGTTTGGGTCTTGTTCTGTGATTATGCAGAAATCTGACATTGCAAATCCACTTCCCCTCAGTCGCTTTTCCAAGGGTGCGCGTCAGATGGGCAGAGGGAGACTACTCCAGGCAGTCAGGGTGGGCTGCTTTGGGTTGAGGCTTCTTAAACGTTTTGAGAGAGCCTCCATTTTAGTTTGGAAGTTTAGTATTTTCCAACCCTGGTTTTTTTGTTTTTGTTTTTATCATTTTACTCCCCACTTGAGCCTGGCTTAAAAGAAATAAACCCATGGAGAGGGAACTCCAGAACTTACAGCTGTTGGCCCCGTTTCATGGCTGCACGGGGAAGTTGATCAGGTCATATGGTGAGCTTCCCAAGACTGCAGTCAGCATATAACAGCATTTAAGTAGTCCACTGCTTTCTTTAAAAAGTTACTGTTTCTAGTGCAAATTGTGTTTAGGGATATGCACTAGGCGGTGGTACGTGAGATGTTAGTTCAGATGTGTGGGAGAGACCTGTGCTCTTTCTCGGGATGTCCTGCATGTGGCATGCCAGCAGCTCTCTTCACCCTTCTCCAGCCGCCCTGGGAAGCTGGCCATTATGGGCTGCCCTGGAGCACCCCCTGCCCTCCATCTCCTGGCTGAGCATGGCCTGTGGGGGGGCACCAGCTGTAGACCTTTGGGGGAAAGGAGAGTGAGGTCAGGTATTTCTCTAGCGCCTTGGTCTCTGCAGGGCTGCCAAGATCTGGCTGCTCCTGTCCGGGGCCTTCTACACAAATGCTTCTCTCTCTCTGGAGCCTGTGGCCACCCTTCCACCCCAGCTCCCAGCCGCTAAGACCTGCAAGGGCGAACACTGTCCCTTGTGGGCTTTCTCACAGCTTGCCCACTCTTTTGTAAATAATCCCTTTATTAAAATCTCCTCCAGCCTCTTCTTTGAGCGGGCTTCTGTTTCCTGCTTAGACTCTGTATCTGTCCTGTTTGGCTGCTGTAGCAAATTACCACATGACTGGTGGCTTCCACACCACAAATTAGTTATCTTACAGGTCTGTAGTTTATAAGTCCACCAAGGGTCTCACTGGGCTCCACTCAGGGAGTCAACAGCTCCTTTCTGGAAATTCTAGGAGACAGTTTCCTTGCTTTTTCTAGCTTGGAGAGGCCACCTATGTCCATGATTTGTGGCCCCTTTTCCTTCTCCAGAGCTAGCAGTGGTCAGCCAGCCCTTCTCACACTGGTGTCTCTTTGGTTCCCTGCACCCAGGGGAGGTCCTCCTTGTAATTAGATTGGACCTGTCTGGGAAATCCCCTCATCTCAAGGTCCTTAAGCTTAATCACATCTGCAGAATCCTTTTTGCCATGAAAAGTAAAATATTGAGGGTCATTATTCTGCCTATCAAAGATCCTAAGTGATAAAGTCCTCTGCTCTGTTACAGGCTGAGGAATGTGGTTTTGTCAGTCATGTCTGAGGGGATTCTGCTCTGGGGAGCCAGTCATGCTAAGACTTCAATGCTGATAACTAACATGTGGTCACTGCCTGTGTCCACCCCTGATGACACCCTATTAGGGTGGCATTAACTGGACTATACTAAAGAGATCACACGGCTCGTGTGAATGAGCTTGACATGCTGATAACTAACATGTGGTCACTGCCTGTGTCCACCCCTGATGACACCCTGTTAGGGTGGCATTAACTGGACTATACTAAAGAGATCACACGGCTCGTGTGAATGAGCTTGACCTTTCCCGAGATCACAGACTTCAGAATTGGTGAGCCTGGATTCAAAACCAGGGCTCTGATGTCAAAGACCATGTTTGCCCCACAGTGCCTAGTGATAAGTTTCCCTTGCTGATTTAGCAACCATTTGGGAGGGAAGGATTTAGAGTGGTTTCTACAAGAGTAAAAAAAAAAAAAAAAAAAAAAAACTCCAGCATCTTTTCTAAAGTGCCAGGACAGGGCAAACCAGGTTTGGTGGGCATCAGGGATGTAGAAATACAGGAAGGAATCAGAGCTAAAGCCCTTCACAGTTTGCTTTGTGCCAGGCATTGTGTTTGTGTCCAGCATCTCCTGTAATGGACGATCTCAGCAGCTCTGCAAAGTAGGATAGTCATCCCCATTTTATAGACAAAGGAAGTAAAGGGAAATAAAGATGGATAAGTTAGATTCTGTTTGTTTTCCTTCATTTCGGGAGAACAGCTAAGCCACATTTTACATTTACTTCTGTAAATGAGTTCAGTTTGGACAAAATCATCTGTGCAGTCTTTCCTGGTAAAGGCTTCATGACCCTAGCACCAGTAAAGGGAAGTAATGACTAAAATCTCTAGAAGAGATCATTGACTTACGTGACATGGAACTCATAGCCTTGGCCTCATTTCACTAAGACAAAGTGACTAATGGGAGGGGCTAAAGCGTTAAAAAGTTCTGAATGAAATTCTGTCCTGTTCCTTCCCCCCAGTTTTCTGACAGTTGCATCCATCTACTTCATAGGGCAAGGCCAGGCCTTACTGCGTGTTACCTTTTTAAAGAACTGCTTTCTCAAGAGATAATTTACATATCATAAAACTCGCCCATGTTAAGTGCACAATTCAGTGAGTTTTAGCACGTTTACAGAGTTGTACAAGCATTTTCATCTCCCTAGAAGGATGATGACTTACGGTCCCTCCCCATCCTCACCCCCAGCCCTGGGCAGCCATGAACCTACTTTCTGTTTCTTTAGATTTGCGATTTCTGGGCACTTGTCATAAATATGGCTGGGACTGTTCAAGCCATTCAGCCACCTTACATGGTGTTTGAGGTGCCAAGCCTGGATTTCCCCCCTTTTGTCCTCCTGGTAAATAGCATCCACTCTGTCCCAGTTTGTCTGTGAGCCTGTCCTTCCAGTCCAAGCTGGTTGTGTTATATTAATTTGTTTGATGGAGAGTTTTTGTTGCAGTTTTGTTTCCAATGAGTTAATGAAGGGGAAGTTGGAAAGTTAGCTTGGGGGGATGGGGAACTGGTGACTTTCCCATTGCCTTGGACCACCCCCTACTGTCCTCGCAGCCACCCTAGAAGCACATTGCCCCCTAGTGGTCGCCCATCTGTCACCGACCACTTTCACCTCCATAATCCGTGGATTCATGTGTTTGTGGCCCATTCCAGAGATATGGGGGCCTGGGCTTCCTTCAACCACTTGCTGCTGGTGGACTTCACTGTTAGCTCACTCCAGCGATTTCTTAAGGCATTTTATGCTGGGTGTGTCAAGATTTATGTTTGAGGAGTTATTGCTGATTTTGTTCCTCCTACCTGGAATTATCCCCATGTATACTCAGAAATAGACTTAGCAGTGGGCATTGGGTTCATGTCTCAATTCTCTTACCTAGTGGTGGTTGATCACTGCTCCCTTATCTCCAGAATGAGGGGGCTGGGCTCATTAGCACAGAGGGCCTCTCTACCCTTGGAAGGTGAAATGGGTCTAGACAGTAGGAAGACTTTTACTCAAGTACTCATTCAGTATATATTGAGTACCTGCTGTATCAGGGGTTTCAGCATCTAGTATCACCGTCCTGTTTAACAATGATTTCTTTATTCCTCTCCCTGTGCAGGGTCGGCCGGCGGCCTGTGCTGCTGTGTTCCATCATCTTCATTCTGATCTTTGGACTGACTGTGGCACTGTCAGTGAATGTGACTATGTTCAGCACACTCAGGTTCTTTGAAGGATTCTGTCTGGCTGGAATAATTCTCACCTTGTACGCGTTACGTAAGTAGTCCTGAAAAGAATTAGCAAAAGTATGATTGCCTAATATTTTCTGGGAGGGTTTTTTTTTTTTTTTTTTTTTTTTTGCGTCTAGCTAGGACAGGAATTGGACCCTGGACCTTGGTGTTATCAGCACCATGCTCTAATCAACTGAGCTGACTGGCCAGCCCAACAGGGCAGGTTCTGTGCATGATGGTGGTTTGGGATGGCCATCTTCTGGAAGCACAAACTATAAAGGCCTCAATTGTTGTGGAAGGAATTTTTCAGGCGATGCCATCCATTGTTCACTTGATCCTGATCCCCAGCTTGGGTTCAGTACATGTCAGAGAACACGGAAGTTTGCGTAATTACTTGGAGAAGTGGGGATCAGCCCATGGCTGATATGGAGCCACTAATGCTCTCCCCCGGAATTTACTGCATTGACGTTCTGTGCACTTCCAAACCTGCTGCATAATTGGGTATCTCTGTACTTGGTTCCAAAAGAGCATACTAAGTGTGTGTTACTATGTGGTCTGGAGTTACCATTTTCACTGATTCCTTAAGAGTTTTCTTCTTTTTTTTTTTTTTTTTTTCCTGAAAGGCCATACAGAGTCCCAATTTTCCATATTCTAATGTGCTCAGATATGACCATAAGTGGTCTGGAATTGAACTCTAAGGATTGGTACTGGCACAGTAAGTGGCAAGATTAGGTAGTATTTGCTCTTTTTAGGATGAGGAAAAATTTCCTCCATTGACCTGTCATGTTCGTTGGCTGTATTGACCCTGCTCTCAGATATAGTTATGTTTCTCTTATTTGTAGTTGGTGTTTTCTAGGAGATGACCACAAACCCATGAGGAGGAGGAGAGTTTTAGGCATGCATGAATGTTTTACTTATTTACTAGTTTTATGCTTTTTAATCACCTTGTGGAAAGATCTGTTGGGAATACTGTTAAGATAATTTGTCTTTTTCTCTCCCTTTGACAACATGGGTAGGAGTCATGCATAGATTAAGTAGCAATTTCCAGTGTGATAAAATAAGAATAGTTTTAATTCTCTTAAATTTGCATATTAAAGACTTCTTTTAGATAACTTGAATTTTTGTTCTACTAGAAACATGGTCTCTTCATGACACAGTTGTGTAGTCACAAGGAAGGAATGGACATAGAGAAGGGCCGTACAGGTGCATTCTCCTAAATTTCTAGTGGGCAGTCCATTACCCTCAACACTGCACTGAAATGTGCATTCTTAGAAATCGCCTTTTGCAGTTCATTTGCTTTTACTTTGGAACCCTTGTCACCTGGGGAGTTCTTTACCAACATGGGCATTGGACCTGAACATTTTCAGACAAGATGACTGTGCCGTTCTCTGTGGGCCTGACCCCGTCATCTGTGGGAAGAGTGGTTTCTCGGCTCTTTTCCTGAGGGGACTCCTGGCCCTGCAGTCAGGCGCTCTCTGGGCCACATGTATGCAGGCATGATGGGGGCTTCTCCCCAGCTGGCCATCCTTGCCAGGCTCCGGTTCTTGCAGGAGGGTGGCAATCCAGTCCTTCCAGGTGGCAGCCATTGAAGGGGACAGTGCTGCGCTTTGACAGCTAGAACAGCTGTGCCTTGGGAACCCAGCAGCGAGTGAACCCTCAGTCTCAGTGCAGGGAGCATTCATGGAAGATTGCCTTGTGCTGGGAGACAGCATGTTGGTTTTATCTTGCACGCCAACAGCTGGTGACTGCTGGAGGCTGCTGGAGAAGTAGGAGAAGACTTCCCAGGACACTTGGGGCTCAGCAGAAGAGAACACCATGATCCCTAAGCCATGTCCACTCATATGAAGGGAGGAGAGCAGGGAAGGGCTGCACATGTGGCTGGCATTTGCCATCGCAAGAGGCTGTCCCTGAATTAAGCAGCCCAGGAGTGATCTATCTGTACCTGAGTGGCATTGCCTCAGCCACCCGCAGCATGTTTTTCTGACTCATGTTGTGACATCATGCCGTTGGCCCTAAGAAACCTATTGCTGTATTTACTGTAAAAAATGATGTTGAGTGTTTTTTCATTAGATTACGTACTGAGTTCTTCATAGTAGAAAGTTCTCTTCCACTTCAGAACCACACAGAGTGCGCTTATCCAAGGAAGCTGCTTTGCTTTTATCTCCCAGACACAGACTCATGCAACCCAGGCGTTTGCAGGCTTTTTCTGTAAAGGGCCAGGTAGTAAATATTTTAGGCTTTGAGGGCTATATGATCTCTGTCACAGCTATTCACCTCTGCCAATATAGAGTGAAAGCAGCCATAAATAATATGTAAACGAATAGGCATGGATGTGTTCCAGTAAAACTTTATTCACAGAAACAGATTGTGGGCTGGATTGGGCCTATGGGCCATGCTTCTTTAACCACTGATGTAAGTGACTCGTGTGTGGGCCTGACAACAGGAGTTTTAAATTCTGACCTCTCCTACTTTTATCTTAACTTCCCTACTTCATTTTCCCTTTGTCCTATTTTTTTATCTCCATAATTTGTGTTATTTTATTGCATGCATTTGTGTCAGCAGCCTTAAATGTTTTCTGCTTCAAAGCAAGGCATATATAAATGGTCAAGTTTTCTTAGGTTAGGACTATGAATCAAAGTTCATGACAAATGTATTGCAACAAAAGTGTCCAGGTATCCAGTGACCCTCTGCACTGTGGCCTAATGAAGTATCTGGGGTAGCACAATTAAAATCAAGCAAAAGGTGCTGGCCAGTGAGCTCAGTTGGTTAGAGCGCAGTGTTACAATACCAAGGTCAAGGGTTTGGATCCCTACACCGGCCAGCTGCCAAAAAAAAAAAAAAATCAAGCCATAGGTGACTTGGAGTTCGTTGAGATAATATTTAAACAGTGAAAATTAGGGGGATTTGGTTGAGAGATGTCAGAAGAGCCCTGCTTGGCAAGAGAGAATCGTAAAAAGAAAATAAAGTCATACTGGGTAGGTGGGCTTGGGGTAGAATATCAGTGGGCTGGGTTGGAGTAGCCTGTGTCTCTGTGTATGTGGCAGTCTTGGGAGAACAGAGGCTGGTGACATGAGGTTAAGAGAGGAACTCCCAGTCAGTAATGCAGAGAGACCGTGAAGTTCCGAATTAGTGTGCTTGCTTCCATTTTATACACAAGTAGGATATGGGATTAGGTAATGCTTGGGAATTTGTTTTGTCTGAAGGAAATTATTGATAAGCTGGGTCATGGGGTTGAAGTATTACTTGACTCTAAAGAAAAGTTTAAAACTTTTGGGCATTGATTGTTTGGAAGTTACATTTTGAATAGTCTCAACTTTTTCTCCCCCAATAACCAAAAGGTTTTTATCTCACTTAATGCATCTGCTGGAAAGGCCTGTACTTTCTCAGAACAGAACTGGATATCATTCTTTTTTTAGTCTTGCAGGTGCTTGGCAATGCAAGTAGAGAAAGTAATGATTTTTACCGTTTTAGTTTCTTGCATAGCTTGCCATGAGGGTGGACTCTTAGTTTCGAGAAATGCTGCTGACTTGTGAAAGTTTTCTGCTTTGTTTGCAAGGGTGCTTAAGGTTGGTTGTTTTTCTGCTTTGGATTTTTTCTAAGGTACATTCTGGTTAAATACTACTCTTCCCTTAAAACTTTTGTTTTCTTTAAGTTGCCAAAGGGAGAAGTGGTTGTGTAATTAGGACATAAAATAGAGATTACTGGCATCTTCCCAAGGAATGTTTACACGGAAGTAGAGCGTGTGTTGGCAAGAGCAGGAGAGAAGAAGCCCAGCTGAACGGGTTTATGCAGGGCCACAGCAGTGGTCCCTGCCTGCTTCTGAGACCATCGTGAAGACACTGAAATAATTCAATACAATTGGGCTATGTCAGTGGCGTAATTTTACCTTTACCTCTAGACAGATGGATGGACACACACACACACACACACACACACAAAGTAGAAAACTTGACTTAGCTAGGTGAAGGTCATAGACCAAGAAAAGAAGCAATAGATCACATTTCCCTATTAGATTATGGAAATAAAGTCTTATCAAAGACTAAAGAAAATAGTCACTTCTCAATATAGACAGACATTATTTATTGTGTTATGAATCCTTTTCCCAACCAGGATTCGTAATAACACAGACAAAGTAATAGAGCATTGTTTAAGATGTGTCTTTCTTCAATAGAAGCCAGTGGGAGATAATTGTTTTTTAAGTTGATTTGATGTTTGGATGCAGTAAGTCCTGTGGGAAAGAAACATATTTTAAAATATAAATTTAAGTTTCTCTCCTCATTTGATCTCCACTTTCTCCCTTGCCACCTCTAACAACCTCTCCCCCACTCCACTTTACCAATTTGAGATAACGAACAATACTTTTTGCTGGCAGAGAGACCATACCTTAGTTACTGTGAGTGAATGAGCATAACCTTTTTATCCCTAACAACAATGAACAGTTTTCTTGAAAATTCTCTTAAACATGTTCTCATTATAACAACCTTCCTTAAACCCAGACAGCCTAAACCATTGGGTGAATTTTATGCATGATCACAGTGACCAGAAATTTCACAGCTGACTAAGTTACTGATTACATTGCAAAATTAGTAGCCAAGTCTTTTTTTTTTTATTTTAAATTTTTATTTTGTCAATATACAATGTAGTTGATTATTATGGCCCATCACCGAAACCTCCCTCCCTCCTCCCTCTCCCCCCTCCCACCCAAGAATGTCCTTTCCGTTTGCTTGTTGTAACAACTTCAAAAAATTGTAGTTGTTATATCTTCTCCCCCCACCCCCGGTTTTTTTTTTTGTGTGTGTATGTGAGTGAATTAATTTATTTATTTCTAGCTCCCACCAATAAGTGAGAACATGTGGTATTTCTTTTTCTCTGCCTGACTCGTTTCACTCAATATTATTCTCTCAAGGTCCATCCATGTTGTTGCAAATGGCAGTATTTCATTCGTTTTTATAGCTGAGTAGTATTCCATTGTGTAGATATACCACATTTTCCGTATCCACTCATCCGATGATGGACATTTGGGTTGATTCCAGCTCTTAGTAGACA